CCACTTCAAACTGCGCCAAAATGGAATTAATGTTTGAATACTGCAATACAATGGACATAAACTGAAATCTGAAACTGTTTCATATTAAAAGTACCAACGCACAATGCTTATTGCGATTTATTGGATGGGAGGTGAGCTTCAATATTACATCCATTGACTGAAAACAGGCTAGACTAATCAATTCTTGGGATTTAAGAATCGATATCGTTTCGTAAAAATGAGAATCGATTAAAATCGAGATATCGATATTTTTTACCCAGCCCTACTAAAATGTCATTCAACCAAGATATTTTTTCATTTATTTAATCTATTCTGTTGTGCAGCGTCTTATTTGACAAAAAATAAAAATGCAGTGTTTTGTTGTAAATTAAATTGTTGAAGTTTTATTAACTCATTTAATTAGACTTTTTATTATAAAGTTGTATTGAATCATAAAACACAGAATCCAGAAAAAAATTAATGGAAAACACAGAATTTCGGGCAAAATAAAACAAATTTCATAGGGCCATAAATTACAAGGTAGCTACTCTGTAGAGTTTAATTGTGAACAAACAAGTGTGTTTACATTCATTTCCTTCGCCATTAATGGTAAATGAATATTGTGCTAAATATTGATATTGTGTGATATGGAAAAAATATTGTGATATTGTTTTTGGCCCTGAACACAAACTCTGTGCCGACTAATGATGCAAGAAGGCTTTATGTGTTGTGTACGTCTCATCTGATTTCTTCTCCAAGGAATCTATTAAAGAGAAACACAATCAAAGACTGCATCTCTTCCTTTATCTCCACAGGTTCCAGAGATCCAATACTTCGGCGCCAGCGCCCTTCACACCAAGATTTCCCGCTACTGGGGCGACATCCCTGCCGAGCAGTATGACACGCTCAAAACGCAGCTGTTTTCTCAGATCGCTCGCTTCGCATCCGGCTCTAAGATCGTCCTGACCCGCCTGTGTGTGGCGCTGGCGTCCCTCGCCCTCAACATGATGCCCGAGGTGTGGCCGGGGGCCGTGTCAGAGATGGTGCACATGTTTCAGGAGGAAGGAGGCGAGGTGGATGGACGCGCGCGATGTTTGGCCCTGTTGGAGCTCCTCACGGTTCTCCCGGAGGAGTTCCAGACCAGCCGGCTGCCGCAGTACCGTAACATCAGGGCATGGTGCCGAAGATGCATACCGATTTTCGTAATAAAGGCTAAGCGTTCTTAAAATATTGCGCCGAAACACTGCAGGTAGTCTCCGGTCATGCTTGTTATAACACACACCAAGTTTGGTCTCAATACGCCAAACCGTTGCGGAGATATAGCCTCACATCCATTTTTACGTGCTTTTCGTAGAATTCCTTCGTGCGTTATTCAAGAAGGGTGGGACGAATCAACTTGGATTCCGTAACTTTTTGCCAGCATGGTCTGAAGATGATCTGAGCCAATTTTGGTGAGAATCAGACAAACCGTCTAGGACGAGTTCGAAAAAGTAGGTTTTACGAACGATTAAAAATAGCGAAAAAACTAAACCTTGCGATTTTTTTAATTTTTGGTGTTCATTCGACTCGGCATGAGCCAAGGATTCAGAGGAAAAAAGAATTTTCATTTTGTGCCTTATGGTTCAAAAGTTATTAGCATAAAGATATTTAAACTTTGGACAAGTGGTGGTGCTAGAGAGTTGGAGTTAGAGACTCCAAACTTGCTGTGGTTAATGTTGAGACTGTCCTCTATCAGTGTGCCAAATTTCACAACTTTCCCGCAAGCGGTTCTATGGGCTGCCATAGACTTTCGGCGGAAGAAGAAAAATGACGCTAACGGATACAATAGGTGCCACTGCACCTTCGGTGCTTGGCCCCTAAAAAATGGTATTTTGCTTGAAGAAAATGGAAGGGAAAAAACATTTTTTTTTGCATTTACATTCCGGACCCTTAAGATGACGTGACAGTTAAGTACATCCCCCAATTAAGTACAATCCTCCAATTCTCATTATTTTTTATTATTTGAAAAAAGATAGTAAGATTGACATGGTATGATTTTTGTGCTGCCATTAACTTAAATTTTTTTAGCAGTTAATTTATTTAAATATTTTCAATTTTAAATTACGTACATTTAAAATAATTAAAATGTATATGTTAAAATAATTTAAAAATAATATAACTATTAATAAATTTATTGTATTACAGTAATTCTAATACATGTTTACAATAATGCAAATTTAATGAGCGTCACCAAAGAAAAAGTAAACAGTCCAGATTGGCAGTAATTACATTGTTTTTTAAATGTTAAAAACATTTTTGGGAAAATCCTTAATTGTCGTGAAAATAAGCTTAAAAAATATATAACCGTGGTCCTAGAAATAGCTTTATGCAGTATATTTGACTTTCTTTTGATTTTACGATGAAATATGACCTGAACATGTTCTTGTGAAATGCTCCCAAATATATATTTTATTGTGCACAAACAGCTAATTTCATTAAGCAACTCTCAAGCCGTCATTAAAAAGTGTCAGACTATTGTTCACACATGATTTAAATCATAATTGCATTATTAATGATTTCACTAACCTTTTTCTTTTAACCAGCTAACTATTTACTTTTCAAGGCCAGTATTTTTAGTATTATTCATATACTATTAGTTATGCTATTAGCTATTAGTTACATTAGCTATTAGTTTTTATTAATATTTAACATTTTCACTTTTCATTTTACTTTGTTTCATTATTAGTAATATTGTTATGTGCTTTTGTCTGTCATTTCTTTTTTTATTAATATTAATATTTAGGTTTAATTTATTTTTATTTCAGCTTTAGGTTTAGTTTAGTTTTAGTTTGTATTTATTTCCAGTTAGTAATTTTAGTGCTTCAACTTAAACTTGTTTCAGTTACTTGCCAAGGCAAAATTTCTAATTTTTGTTTCGTTTTTTCATGTAATAATTATATTTTAATTCAACTCCGCTTTAGTTCAATTAACATTTCTGTAATAGTTTTAGTTAACAATAATAACCCTGATTTTTACTTGCATTTGATAAGTTTTAAGTTTGGTCCCTGATCCCAGGATAGTAGCTATTGTGTGTATATATAGATAAATACTTCAATGCACCTGCTAGAACAATAGAAGGTGCATAAGCATCATTAGTTATATCAGTGAATGCAGAAATGTGAACAACGTGTTGGAAAGAGAGAGAAATGGTCTGATGGAGAACAAACACAGGTGAGATGAAAGTGACTGATGGAGAGAGAGAGATGGGTGGAAGAGAGACAGAAACAAAGGCAAATTGAAACGCAATCGCATCAGAGGAGGGGGGTGGCGGCGGCAGCATGTTTATTTCAAGGATGGCTGGCGTTTCCATGGAGACAGAGCGAGGGAGCGATGTCTTACGGTCTGGTTGGTACAGACGCGGCAGGATCCCCCCCCCCCTCACTGAAAGCCAGAGCCAGAGGATGCTGAGGACCAGCCTCCTCGACTGTGGAAAGCTGGTGGTGTGAGGTTAAAGCGTTTCTGCCCTGATGAAGACAGACAGTTGTCCACAGTCTAATGCTGTAGTTCAATAGTTCCTACAGGTATCTGACACACGGTTACGGCTGAATTCACTTTGTAGTGCATGAGGGAGCTGATTAGGATGGGTGACCTTTAGAGGGAGATTTTGATTTTTCATGAGAGGTTTTTGCAGAAAGGCTGATTGGAAGCAATTTTTTTGCACTGGATGTGTTGAGTGGTGGTCCACAGAAATATATATATTTTTAATAGGCAATGAAAAGTTGCAGGGTGGCAGTTATGGTATAGTATACCTACTTACCTACTATAGTAAGTATACTTTACTTGATTTAGTTATATTAAAAATGAATTAAAATAGCTGAAAACATCAAATAAGCTCTCTAACTGGCTAATTGAGCATAATTTTTACTTGCTTGAATTGTTCGCCATTCTTCTAGATCGGGATGTCTCAAACTAGGGTTTGTGTATTGATGAAAAGCTATTAATGAATTAAATTGTACAATTTTAAAATAAAAAAAAAATTTAATTAAAAAACGTACTTTAAAAATGTAAAAAAAAAATATTTGTTGATCACTGTTTTAGATCCTGGGGTTTCAAACTCATTTATGTTAAGGGCTGGATTGATTGATTGATCGATTTAGTGAGTTGATCAATATCTTGTATCTTGTTTTCTGGAGGTCATTGAAGTCCACAGTAACTTTGTTGCAGCATGAATAGCTAAAAAAAAGCATGTGAAATTTTATTTTTTATTTTATTCACTATTGATGAGAAAAAGTAATGCTAGCTGCACTTGGCTAAATAACTTTATAGCTGTAATAAGTCATCTGAAACCGAACATTAACAGAGCTATATTAAGAAATTCTTCAGCTCATTTTAATTACAGACATAATTAAACTGTGAATTAATTCCTCCTCAGTCAAACGCTGACAGCGTTGAATAATTAATTAGTATTATATATGTATCATTTTATTTAATCCATCATTCAGTTATTTCACTTAAATCAGGTTTTACAATATAATAATTGCATGTAATTTTGTTGTTGATTTTAAAGCATGTTTTTCCCAGATCAGACCCCTGTTGTTGACAGACAGTAGATTTGATGAGTAAATGCATGGACAGCTAGCGTGCCAGTTTTTCCTCTTTGCGCTGTCATATTGTGATCTGCGGCTGAACGTGAAGTCTGTTGTTCGTTCTCAAACACCCAAATCTCAGGTGCTTTGAATTCAGTTCGGCCGGTGTGTCACCTGCTCTTAAGGTCATATCAATGATTCTTTTCGCTAATCATTTCACCTTTGTCCTTTTCTCCATCATGCCCGTGCCTGGTCCTCTCTCACTATCCTCTGTCTCCATCACCTCATCACCTCCTCTCACTGTTTAAACACATTACAATCAAGCCTCTCGGGAGGATGCCATTGGACCAAATGCATCCTGTTGCCAGGCAACTCATTTCATCTGTCTCCTGGTGTTTGAGGGTAATTACACAGAGAGGGAGAGGGAGCGTCTGTGTCTGTAGAAACACAGTGAGATACGAGGATTCACACGAGAGCGTTTGAGGTTCGAGAGAATAAATCTGCGCTCTGATGAATCGAACTCAAATTGGGCAGTCTGAGAGACAATATGGCACAGAGATGGGAAACTCTGCTTAAATGTTGTAGTTATGACGTATGATGTAATCCGAGGTGATTTTTTTTTAACACTGACTAGCAGTTTAAACATATTGTGAAGTCATATGCAGAAAGTCGTTATTCAGTGAACTTTGTGCCGTAGATCATCTTGAAGTGTGCACTAGGGCAGTAGTGATGTCTGATTTGATAATTAATGTATTTTGCTTGAGACTGATCAGTGATCAGCCCAACGTTCACCATCCAACAGGTGTGCAGTGACATGCTGCATGAATCTTCCTGATGGTGTTGAAAGCCCTCCTTGACCTTGACTGCAGTGTCATTGATGTGATTATTTGTTTATTTAGGGCCTATTCTAGTAAAAGCATCTTAAAACCTGAACTCATAAATAAATGCACTCGCCAGAGCCGCAGCCTCACCGGCCATTAGATCAATTAAACCAGGAAAGACAAGGTCACACTGCGAACAAATGCAGCGATTTATAAGGGCCATGTCAAACGTGTAGGCATGGGTCTTAAAATTTCACAAAGAAATGTGCAGCATTTTGTCCAAGCAATAATAAAAGGACACATTTAATTTATAATTTGTCTTAAATCTCATTTTGTTAAAAAAATAATAATAATCGTGAATCGAATCGAATCGCGAAATCAAAATCGTGAATCGAATCGAATCGTGAGTTGAGTGAATCGTTACATCCCTACTACGAAGTATATGTATGCAATGAATATGCTAAACATTCAGTATTAACACCTATAGTATAGCTGATGTGCGCGAGCTGATAAGCAAAACACGCTGAGTGGATTGAGCGCTCGAGCTTGTCGAGTGAATATACCTTTCTCACAGACATCACTGGAAAATTTGTAGTTCGGTCGGATGAAAGTAACAAAACCTTGTAAAATACATTTTAATGGGCATAATTACGTGTGGAAATATCCGAAGGATATACAGTCAAACCAAAAATGATTCCGAGACCAGATATAATTTTTGATATTTTTTTACTAGTGGGTGCAGGACACTATAGTTCATTTATGTAAGTGAGGATAGCAAAATAAAGTAAACTGTGACAAATTATACCCAAAAATTCTTCG